AAAAAAAAAAAAAAGATCAGCTTTCGGAATTATTAACAGTCGATACATCATGCTTCTGGTGGAGGAATGAATAGGAATCGTGCGCAAGAGACTGCATGAAAACGATCAAACCACACCACATACGTTACTGACAAAGATCGGTAATAAATTGTTAAAGTAAAATGCAGAAGGGGTTACAAAAGAGGGAATGCACATATAATAGTTATTCAAAAATGGACTCCACCAGTGTACCTGTTCTTGGGCTCGGAAATACATAAAAGGCGTATACTGTAGAAAATTCGAAACCCGTGAGGTATAAATATCAGCATACCTGCATTTTGTGATGTGAAAACGATTATATGGTAAAGAACATGTTTTAACCACAATTACAAATGAAAAATTTGGCACCTACTTTTCAATCTGTCTCATCAAGTGGCTTTTGTCCCATAGGCCTGCTCGTGAAATAAAACCCCACCTGGGAGAAGATAAAAGACCCATACTTATAAGGCGTGTTCAGATTAAATAAAAGGAAAAGATAACCACAAATAATAGGGGAAAAAAAAAGCAGTAAAGTACCTTTGATTGAAGAGCTCCCCGTCTGATTCCATCATTGGACCGATCTTCTGGTCTAATCTTTGCATGACAATGAGTAGCTTCTGAATGCTTTCACTAAGTTCCTTGTCGTCCATATGAGTGGCAGCAAGAGTCTGAAGGAAAAGAATGTTCGCGCTATTAAAGTAACAATCACGTTAAGTAAAAAAGGAGGAAAAATAGCTGTACCAAGAAACAAAGAAAAAAAATATACAAAATGAAGTGAACTAGTGTGTTGTACTGATTCGCTTGTACAATTGCAATCAATACAATCACATATAGGCTACACAGCAAAATTTATAATAACCACTGCCATGAAAAAAAAAAAAAAAATCAGTTATTTATTAGTGTTCTACGGTAGATGTTCCACGTATGCTAATAATATAATATTACTCCGAAGCGTTCATTGTATCAGATAACATTTGATATATGTGCTTGCGCAAAACTTTCAACTCCATGTTAAATGACTACTAACATGAAGCTTGTTCATTAGAGGCAAATTTAAGTTTCAATTATTTCACATGTGAACTCGAACATTGTACAAATTCCAAAATATTTCACATGTGAACTTAAATACTGCAGATACTTCTTCACTTTCTAAAGAATGAAAATCACATTAAATTCCAAAATTTACATTTCTTTCTGGATGGAATTGTATTTTGTTTGATGCAGCACAAAGTTGTTATGACTAATGTCATTTGTTTTGTTGGTCATTTTATTTCAAATAAACATTTTTTATATTTAAAAACAAATTATCTCCTCTTCAGAAGTTTATAAAAAATTAGTCGGTATATAGGACAATAGGAAATAGTATCAATGTACTGCAACTAACTGAAGGTAAATGCACATTACATACAGAAAATCAGCAAATAATGCCCAAAAGAGGAAAAAAAATAAAATAAAATAAAATAAATAAAAGATGATTTATATGGAATTACCTGAGCAGGACGACCTTTAGTTCGTCTCTGCAAGGCAAGACGGAGCTGGTTAAAGAGGTCCCCCACAACCTCTTTTTGATTTATAAGCTCTATCAATGTTGCACGATGACCTCGGCTTTGGATTAAAGCACTATACTGCAAAATAAGGGCACAACTGGGCAAAGTTGTTTGGTGGCAGTAAAAGATGCACTTCATCTATTCGAGTTGAGAGGATAAAAGAACTGATTTAAATATATTTGAATTAATATTATATGCATTCCAAACTGAGATAAAACATGACACTGAAAAAGTTCTAGATCTGCGCAATATCTTATTGGCTATGATAGTAGAAGCAAGGCACTATACAAATAGTTTTCTTTGAAAAAGATTAATTATTTATTATTGTTTAAACTAGAAAGTATAAGATAGTATTTGAAGATAGATTAACAAGTGAATTCAAATTATGAGGCCGGTGACTTTTTAATTGATGAGAATTTCTTGTTCTAGGAAAAAAAAGGCCCACAGTATCTCATTTGATAATTCTCATCCAGGTAATTAATCATAAGCAACAGTTACTAACCTCAGCTTCTAGTTCACGGCAAATGAGTGCCGTACGCCACCGAAGATGGACTTTAGATTGGCTAACATCCGTATATATATGATCACCAACATACAGAATTTCATCTCCATGAACGCCAAGTGAGTTCTCAACCATCTGAGCACTTCCTCCAGAGTACACCCCACCTTCATCAAAATTCAAAATACAATCAGATGGGGAGCTCAGTTAACCATTTATAATCCATGATCAGAGAAGATGAAAGTTACACAAACTAAAAATAAATGTAATAAAAACAGAACCATTTTCACCGCTTAAAAGTCTTAATCGCTTGATAATTAATCAAACGTTTTAAGGGCAATAAAGTGAAATAATATTTTTCTACATATAAACATAATAGGATAATGAATTTGCAGTACACTCCCCAATGATAAATGTGCATTGCTTTAAACCCAAGTTCATATTACTGTCTTAGCTAATCCTTATATAGGTTGTTATAGTTTGCCTATAGCAGCCAACATGACAGAAAATGCTGTATATACATCAATCAGGAGATAAAGCTTCTTACCCAAATAAGGTTATTAAAGACAGATAAACAGCATTCCGAACCAACAACTGTAAGAAGATTTTGTAGAAGGGTGAAAACACTAAGTATGATCACCTGGATTAGCCTTAAAACATGGACGCATAAGACCTTCACCAGTCACCACTTCATACATTGGGTGCGACATTTGAAAAAACTCCGGCTTCCTGGCAGAGACTATGATCTGTAAGAAACAATTGGTCACTGCATTGCGGACCTCAAGGAATCATACCCTTGTAAATTATACAGATTGAAAGATACAATAACTAATTGTTGGTGGTTAAAGAGCATGTGTAACTTCAAGTCTCCACAGACTCATAGAATGTCTTTTTATTACTATGAACATCGCCAAAAAAACTGGACAGAACCCCGTTGCTTCAAAATCAATTTTAGTGAGACTGGAAATGGTCTACCCACTATGTCAAAAAGATCCCGCCAACTCATGTCATTCGGAAGATATCTATTGAAAGAATGCTGCATCATTTTATCAGTATAATGGTAATCCGAGTTGGTAATCAGCAGGAGCCTTTTGCCAGCCTGTCATGAAACAGCTAAATTTAGTATACTAAGAAGCAATGTTAACAGAGGATATCTAAATGTAGTAAGCATTTAACAATAACCATGTATTGACTCGAACGAGAATAAAAAGTACCTCTTTCTGATCCAGTAGTGCTAAAGGTAGCTCAGGATCAGGTTCAACAAAGAGTTCAGGTTTGGACATAATCTCACTCTGTATTTGCTCCAATTGATTAGATGAAGCTCGTGCAAATAGAAATTAAAAAGAAAATAAAAAAATTATGTATATTTATATGTAGGGGAAGGGAAGTACCTTCAGCTGGCCCTCGACATGTGCCCTGAAGAGTGCTTTCCCAACAGCCTGAAACCAATACAATAATAGCTACGTCATTGTAATGCGTAGAAAATCAAATACACATATGTTTTTGTCAGTGAACCTTGTAAAGCCCTTTATAATCAAGTGGGCCAGTCTCTGCAGCTATAGCTCCTTCATCCAACCTATCTACCATCTGATAAGAGTAACTTCTGAAATTAGCCATACTCAAAAAAATTCACAACAAAAATGACAAAAATTAAGTAAAGGCTGCATGTAATTTTAAAGGTTAAGACTTCAGTAATAATATAGTTCCATATTTTGAAGTCTAACACTATATATTAACTCAGGATAAATTGACTTATCTAAAACAGAAACTATGAAACTCAAACTAGTAAGAATTTTTATCCCAGTACAAATCAATCTGTTTTTTCACAATAGTGCCGGACTAAATAAACCAGCTTCCCAGTGAGATACTTTAATGCTCTTCGAAGTCAAACTGTTAAAGTGCAAAATCAAGATGGGAAAATCAATAATCACAACTATACCTTTCATGTTTAGTGTTAAGTACAACAGGAGAGATTGGATAGAAACTGTTCCAAGGTGAGAAAGAATATAAAAATAAAAAATGAGCTTAAGACCTTAGGTAAGAAATGCATTTTCGTGTGCGTTGTGAACTCCTCTTAGCAAAAATTACAGGAGTTCATAATTTCATAAAAAAAAAAAAA